GCTTTAGGGGTGCCACCACTCGTGCACTGATGTAAAAAGTCTTGCCCGTGGTCCACTGGGAAGAGCCCATTTGGACGCCTTCCTAAAATGACAAGGCAAACCTTTACAGACAAGAAGCTCTCCTTCCACCACCTCCCACACAGTCAGCCTGACTCCCAGACCCAGATCAACTCTTCATCCTGATGCCAACTGAGCCCAGGTTTGAATCCTAGAGCCCCAAGGTGAGCAGCGCTCTCCTTCCTGCCCAGCGCCCTCCCTCAAGGGTCTGCAGCCCCGGGCCCAGACCTGTTCGTGGTTCTTCTTGAGGCAGAGCAGCTCTTCCTTCAGGGACTCCTGCTGGGCCTCCAGGTCAGCCTTGGCTAGGCTCAGGTCATCCATGAGCTTGTGCATCCCACACATGTCTGCCTCCACCATTTGGCGTAGGGAGAGCTCACTCTCATGCCTTCCAGCACAGGAAACACAAGGTCAGCAGGACGCCAAGGACATCCCCTCTCAGCTGCCCCTCGTTCCCATTTCCTTCACCAACCAGAATTCTCATTTGCTCACTGTGCTCATTTCTGGCCTCAGAGATGAACTAGACTCCACCGCTCTACTCATTCTGCTCATGGTCTAGCAAAGCACTCCTAGTGGGTATCATTTTGCCATTGGGCACTGAGGCAACTTTGATTCCAAAAGATTAACTGGCTTCCCTATGACAATGTGTCTTAGGATCCAGGACAGGACTCACACCAGCTATCAGTTCACCAGAATAAGCAACAACCAGATGCCAAGTCAGCAATTTGCTCCCTTTTTCCTTGTATTGGACTACTTCTCTATCTCTGATCTTTGTTTAGTAGAAATATCTGGTATTTGAGGCCCCATAGGTAAATCTGGACCCTGGCCCATCTGTAAGTTGATCCTCTAATTACATATGAAATTCAGTGACTGTCCTTGCTCAGTTTATTCTTGAAGTCACCTTATTCTGCCCCCAGTTAGTGAGCTCAGGAAGCCTTGTCTTCCATTTTAGGAAAATAAATGAAGGAGGGCTAACTCTAGGCTATATTATACATGCTAAACTTGGTGGTATTTTTTTCTCATCCAGCTTCTATTAGTTTTGTTTGTAATAAAAATTTTTGTTTGGTGAATTTAGGAAAGAAGAAATAAGACAATAATTCTGTTAATCAAGTGTTCGGCCATTGGGAGTTAGGGTGGAGGAAGGAGTCACTCTGAGCCGTCTTCTGGCCCTACTTACTTGATTCTGAAGTCATCGGCTGCCAGCTTGGCATTGTCAACTTGGATAATCAGCCTGGTATTCTCAGCCTTGCTGCAAAGGATCTGAGGAAAAGCAGGAAGACAGTTCGCACACAAAACATCATACCCTGGGCTCCAGCTCTACAGGTAGCCTCTACACTCATATATGAGAGAATCCGAGAACTCAAAGCTCCTTGAGCCTTCAGGAACTTTTTGCCTCCCAAGCCCTTACCTTCCTCAGACCCAGCACACCCCAGGCTATTCTAAACCTCACCTTCTGCTGGAGCTCCTCAATAGTCTGGAAATAGGACTGGTAGTCTGGACACATGGTAGACTCATGGCATTTGCTCGACTCTCGGATCTTGGTCTCCAGCTCCTCATTGTCCCGCTCCAGCTGGCGCACCTTCTCCAGGTAGTTGGCCAGACGGTCATTCAAGAACTGCATGGTCACCTTCTCATGGCCATTCGGGGCGCCTTCCGCATAGTTCTCACAGACTCCGATGTTGCCGGGAATGTTGCAGGTCCCTGGCAAGGGGCAAGCAGTGCGGCAGCTGAAGGGCATGCACAGACTGGGTTTGCCCAGAGGGGTTGCCCCCACACGGGCTCGGTTGGCATGTGCCATGGTGGCCGACAGGCACAGGGAGGCAGCCCTGGCCTCTGCCCCAGGCTGGCACACAATGTCAATGGAGGGGCCATAGACATTTGTTGGGGCAGGCAACCTGGTGCTGCCGGGACACTGGGATGAGCTGATGTAGCAGGAAGTCATGGTGTTAGGCTGAGGTTGCACAGAAGGTTGAGAGCAGCTGGAAAGGTCAAGCCACTGAGTCTGACAACCTCCTTTCCTCCTGGGCCTTTTATACCCCATCCCAGGTGGGTGTTGGCTCCAGGCTTTGACCTCAGTGCCTTGATTCTCTCCCTATTGTTATAACATCAGCCTGTTACTCAGCTGTTGAGTTTACCATTAAGAGTTCACCGCCTCATTAAAGGAATGTTGATGAATTTGAGATGCCTCCTGGCTCTTTGATATCAGCTTGTCTGTTGATGGCAAGTCAGAAGATTTTTATTGTTTTTCAAAGAACAAAATCCTTTCAGCCATCAGAGGTTTATTCCTTGACTAGAGTTCATACTGAAGGCATGATTGTTCCTTTTGGTCACAGGAGTGGCAAAAGAGATAAATCCCTATGACCATATGGTGCTCACCTGGGCTAATAGTATCCCAGCCTTCCCTATCCAGGGAAGAAACTGCTTCTTTGCTGGGTTTTGATTACCAAAAATTTCACATTACTTCTTTCTTCAGTTGTGTGTCTTTCAAAATCAGTTTGAGGAACAATAAAACTTTAATAAGTCCATTCATTGTACATGCATCTCCTGGCACATTCTATGTGCCAGGCACTATGCCACACACCTGCCATACGGTTATTTAAGCCTGGTATATTTCCTGTCCATCAGGATGCAACTCAAACCTGGGTAGCCATGGATGTTTTCGATAGGTTGTTCTGAGAAGCTCATCAGTTTGAGGATGACCTTGCCTGATCTGGACCAGGAAAGATGAGTTCAATAAGCCAGAAACAAATGAAAATGAACAATAATCTTTTTTTAATGCCAAATAAGAACCTGGTCATGGAACTCAATGGGGCACTGAGTTATCGGAGTCATTATGGGGGAGTTTTTCCTGCCTTACTTCCTTGATTCTGAAGTTCTTCATTGAGCACTTACCATATGTGTTGGGGGATTTATCAAAAATATTGTTTAATCCTTCCTACCATTCTATAAAGTGGATATTCTTATCTTAATTTTACAAAAGAAATAAATAAGGCATTGAGGGCCAGAGATGTGAAGTCACTTTTCCTAAGTTCTACCCCCACTATGAAGTGGCAAAGCCTGTTCTCAGTTTCTTTTGACTCCAGTGTACATTCTTGTTCTCTTCACCTTGTTCTCTTCACCTTGACCACCACCACATCCCTCATCCCACCCCCCAAAAGGAGAACAACTGTGTCATTGCCAGAACTGAGAAACATTATAAGGTCTAGAAACTGGGTAAGAAGTTAAAATTAAGAGACAAAATAAGAATCTGACATTCTATGTTATTCTTTGCATCTCAGAAAATACAAATGTTGGAGTACCAAAGCAGTAGGGCAGGGTTTCTTCAAGGACCATGCAGAAAGATGCCCAGGAGACAGTTTCATCTCTATTATTGTACTACATCCTATACCCCACTAGCTCTTGGTACTGAGGGAACAAGGCAACTGATTTCTAAGGTCCAAAAACTTTTCTCTCAAAATTTGTGGCAGGAGATAGATGGTCCCCTAGGACTGAGAAAGACCTAATGTGGAATAAGACCCCCCCCAAAGTGGTTATAAATATATCTTTGTGAAAATGAATATTTTCCAGTCCTCTGGGCATTGAGCAAAACCTGAACAAATATCTCTATAAGGATGAGATATGTATCTGGGAAACATAAGCTATTGGAGTTCTAGCAAGAAGAAATACAGAATTTGAGACTTCCTTCCAGATTGGATTTCCCAGGAAAGGTAACCGGTGGTCAGCTCTGTCCTAAGGGTTACTCAGAGCTCATCAATGAATAACTCTTTATAGACATGATAATTAGAAGACATCACCAGGCAAGGCAGTCTCATCCTTCAGAGGCCTCTGGGTGCAATCTGCATAGGTTACATCTTCAAACATCCCTTTGTTACTCTCCTCTGCCTCATCACATAGCAAAAAGCTTCTCTATAAACCAGAGAACTAAACTTATAAAGTCTTTTTTTTCTTTTTCTTTTTCTTTTTTTTTTTACTCACTAAATAGAATCTTTTGGCCTTATTCTCTGGCAGGATTCATTCCATTAACTAAAACTCATTATTTCTTCCATCTCAAGATACACAACACTTGTTACTTCATTAATGTCACTGCTGCAAGTTTCTACATCCGGGTGACGCTCCTCTCTACTGAGGCTTCCTCATGGTCCTGGCGCGCGCTTCTACAGAGTATGCTGTTTTGCATAATGACACTGATGTTGCATGTCTCTTTGTAAAGTTGCTTGGTTTCACTGATTTGCATTTTTCACAAAGAAGGTCAGTGTGAGGGGAGGATCCCTCCCCTCATATCTAAGACCATCTTTCGTCCTGACCCTTTGGAAAGAGTCCCTGTGGCCCTTATTGACCAAATATGAGCCAGATTCAGTGACAAGAAGTGGTGAAGACGGAGTGTAAGAGATAGGAACTTTAACCCTGCTTCACTCATGGTGTGCACAAAGTTGTCTCGCTGATTCTGACTTTAGAAATACCAGTCTCTAGAGGCAGGAAGTCTACTGCAAATAGAAAGCCCAAGCAATGTCTTGAGATGCTATTTTCAAACATGGCGTTGTTACAGATGGATGCATCTCAACCAGCGGGAGGGAACGATGTGGACTTGTAGACTAGCACCCAGAAATTGTGCCTAACCCACAGCCTACCTACCTTTCTATGTCGTGGCTGCAGGAAGATGCATGGAGCATCAAAGTGTTCATGCCCTGTGTAGGAACACTACCCATCATATAACACAGTGGTTGCAAAGGTTGAAGCCAGCTCCTGTGTGTGGAGTCTCATACTGTCATGTCTCTTCAATGTTAGAAAGTGGTACCAGAAAGAATTAAAGGTCAAGAAAATCATGAAGTCTCTCAAGAGGAGAGTAATAAATAGTAATAGTAAGTAATAAATAGTAATAGTAAGTAATAAATAATTTATTATTCTTGGTATGCAACTCTTCAGGCTTTGACAAATGGAAAAGATTATGTGGATGGTGCCACGCTCACTCTGAGGTCTGCAGACATGTCGCCATCTTTTATCCAATTATCCTGTTGATGGCCCAAGAGCAAAATCTACTTCTCTTTCACAACTGCCTATTCTGTACACCAAGCAATTCTCTGTGACACCAGCTGGGTGTCCTATAATTCAATTTAATTCTGATGTTATCTACATGGATTTAGCATCAGATCTCACAAGGTAAGGACTCAGGCCCACAAGACTCTCTCTACTTCAGACACCAATCACGAGTCCCAGTTTGTCACCTGTACTTCTGAATGACTAGCTATAAGTCAGGGTTCCCATGACCCCTTCCTTGGGTTTGATCATTGGCTGCAATGGCTCACAGAACTCAGGGAAATATTTATGTTTATAGTTTATTATAAAGGACACAGATGAATAGCCTAAAGAAACGTATAGGGCAAGATATGTAGGAAGGGGTACAGAACTTTCAGATCCTCTCTGAACAAGCCATACTCCCTAACCATCACATGTTCACCAACCTAAAACCTCTATAAGTCCTGTACTTTGGGGACTTTTATGGAGACATTATTATGTAGGCATGATCGATCACTGAGGTGGAAAATGCCAAGATTCTAACAGCTTGGTCTTTGTGATGACCAGCCCCCACCCAGAAGTCCCAAAGAGTGGTTTCATTAGAACAAAAGACACTCCTATCACCCACAAAATACCAAGGGATTTGGGAGCTCTGTGTCAGGAATCAGGGTCAAAAATGAAATATTAGAACTAAAGATGCTCCTAATGTTCTTATCACCTAGGAAATTACAAGAGTTTTAGGAGTTCTGTGCCAGGAACTGGGACCAAGAGACCAATATACATATTTTTTTTTAAATTTTCACAGCAATGGGAATAGAAAATACCCAAACCTCAATTTCTGAGCTGCCTGACCTTAACCAAGTTACATGACCTTTAAATGCATCTGTTTCCTCCTATGAACACTTACAATGATAGTTATACCCAGGGCTACTGGTTAAGAGTTAAGGTACCAGCTAGATAGAGCTCTTAGCATAATGCCTAGCACAGAGTAAACACTTAATAAATGTCAGTTCCCTTCCACTTCAGGGTCTCCAACTATCACCACTACCCCCTTTAAAAGGCCTAGTGTTCTCAGAAAATAAAAATCAGGACGGCTTATAAATACATGAATGTATGTTAACTTTTTGATGTAGTTCCACTTGTTTTTTATCTTGTTGCTCGCACTTTATGTGTCATATTCAAGAAATCGAGACCAAAACCTATTTTATTTTCCACGTTTTCTCCCAGGATTTTAATGGGGCTGGGTCTTGCATTTAAGTCTTTGATCCATTACGGGTTAATTTGGGTAAGTGGTATAAGATGGGGTGAATGGTCATGTTTTCCGGACCATTTATTAAAGAGACTATCTTTTCTGTATTGAGTATTCTTGTCTCCCTTGTCAAATATTAATTGGCTGTGTATATACATGGGTTTAGTTCTGGGCTCTTGATTCTGTTCCATTGGTCTATGAGTCTATGTTTATGTTAGTGCCATGCTGTTTTTATGTCTATAGTTTTATAATATAGCTTGAAATCAGGGAATGTAATGCCTCTTGCTTTGCTCTTCTTCAGACATCGGTATTTTTTAAAGCTCCCCGAGTGGTTCCAGTGTGCAAGGCTAAGAAGAGTGACTTAGAAGAACAAGGAAAGAGAGAATGGGAAAACCATTGTGTGTTTGTGAAAAACATCACTTTGGAGCCACACAGGTGTCATTCTTGCTCGACTAAGTTTTTTAAGCCACGGAGTTTTCATTTTCTCCAGTGGAAAGTGAAGGTTATAAAATCTGCCCTGGGAGTTACTTGGGAGGATTCACACACCCCAGAAAACAGATTTCAGTTGCTAATGAAACTATTTCTAATAAAGCAGGATAAGACCATAAGACCTTATGTGCAATTCTGAGATCCAAAACATTCTGAAAAGTGAAGGTTGCTCCTAACTTTTTTATCTTTGTCTAGTGTTTACTTATCCCACTTAGTAGAACTATCCATATACTTCACGGCAGAATCAGTAAAGAGTTCATTCACAAGGTCTTCCCCACAGTTATCTGAGG